AAAAAGAAGATGCGATGCCGTGCACCATTACCAGCAATGATTTGCACTAAAAGTTAGTTGAAAATCTGCGCATTTTCATGAATGACTGGAATAAGGAAACGTGCAAAAAAATATACAAAATTCAATAATATGAAGGTTAGCTAAACATACATGCGATTATTTTCATGGATGAAATTACATACATCGTAATAATTTTGACTGGAAGTGTGACCAAGTCGCAAAAAACACGTGTGCAAAATTGTTGCAAATTGTTGCAAATCGTTGTTTCGATATTGAACAAACCCCTCACTTAATAATAGCACTCAGATCTGTTCAATTGTTTAATATCGTTTTTGACATAAAATCCTAAATAGGCGTTTTTGGCTGACAAAAAATTATAAGGTTTCAAATTAACTTGAAAAAATGGTAATGAATTGTAAAAAAACATTCCAAAATTTGATTTATCAAGAAATTTAACTAATCATGCAATTTTTTCATACATATGTTGGAAATACTTACGAAAAAGACATGCATAAAAAGATATGAATTTTATTTTGTGCCAACTTTTTATTTATTTAATTAAATCCTCCAATTTCTGTAATGTAAAATTCTTTAATCTAAAATCGAAATATTCAAATTAAACTAAAGCATTTCATTAAACTAAAGCAAAATCTGAGAATTTAATGCAAACATTAAAAATTTGACAAAAAATTTATATTGTTGAAATACATTTTAATCCATTTTTAATACTTACATACATATTTCCAAGATTTTTATAAACTGTGACATACAGATCGCACCGGTAGTAAATCTTCTTGACCTTCTTGGTCTTATTAATTCTATCAAGCTAGACTGAAACAAAGAACAATTTTGCACTCGTGTTTCAAGACTTTGTCACATTCCAGCCAAAGTTATTGTGCATTTACATAATTTCATACATAAAAATTATTCCATTTTTGAAAAATTAGTAAAAAAAATACTTAATTGTTGAACAAAATTATAAAACGATAACATACTTAATAATCTCTCCAATCATAAAATGCAATGTTTTCATAATAAATCCCGATTGTAAATACTTGAGTTAATACAAAAATGAGAAAAATATTAATTTTAATTGTTCACGCGATGAACATTTGGATTAATGTTATACTCAAATTTCTGAACTCGAATCCTTGCAAGGATTTAAATCTACATAAAATAATAATTTCTTCAACCCAAACAAGTTCCGAAATGGAAAGTAAATGGCAGAGAAAAGAATAAATGCGTCCGGAAATGAATAATTATCCCGTGAGTGAAGATCCTGAGCTAAACAACTAATTAATTAGTATAATAGCATGGCGTGGCGTGGGTGGGTGGACATGACGTCTCTCGACGTGACCAAAACTGACAAGTTCATCATCTTTTTCCGTTCCGATCTGTCATTTCAAAATCCGACATTATAATTTGATGCACAGTCAGCGCCACGCTTTTACCCACGCTTTTGCAGAGAAAAGAAGGACGCATGGCGTGTACGAATCCCGTTGTCCGATTATCAAAGGGCGGTTATGAATTTATTTATTCCCAACTTTTTCATTGGATGACGACTAATGGTCACACTTTTTGGGTGTGTCGGCCAACTCGTATAGAGCACAAAAATTCCTAAATATTTGTACATATTTCTAGGTTTTCAGATATATCAATATTTCCACTGTTATTTCAAGAATACGAAAATCTTTAACACATTTTTCAAAAACACGTATACATATTTTGTAAATATTTCAACAATGTTTTTGCTAAAAGAAATCGGACTAAAAAACAGAGTATCAAATTGAAAGATATAAATTTTGATTCAAAATTGGTAAACCATAAAAATAAGAAATTTTTTAAAAATTCTTATTTTTATGGTTTTCCTCGTACATATTTTGCACATACATATTTTGGCGTTTTTCCCCTAAATACTAAACACATATTTCAGTGATTTTTCTAAACGGCTCAAATTTTTATAATTTTTTTTTTCATATTTTTATTTTTTGATCCCAAATTTTTTTTTATCATCTAAATGAATATCCGCCCTGTGTGGATTATGTATCGTGGGAGAGATGACTTTGACTAAAATAGGGTTTCAATTAGTCGAGGCATGTCACGTTATGCAAGTAGAGAGATTTTTTTCCCCTGCGTGAGAAGAAAGATGAGCAGGTGCCATATTTATGACCGTGTCGGCCGACTCCTCGCTCGAGTGTGACTATGATTACATAATCTGCGGCTTACGTATAATAGGATTAGGCTAAAAATATACTTAAAGTCGAACCACCCGCCTCCATCCCTCTCTAATTACCAATTAAGAGGGTGGGTCGTCTCCCCATAAAAATTAGGAGTCACGTAGCCCTGCAATTAAGTAAATTACCGTCCGTGGTGGTATTAAAAAATAAGTATGTAAACCCGCATGGAAAAATTATTTAGTTCACAACGACAACCAACTCTCTCTCGGAATGAAAATGAAAATGAAACTGAGAATGACGAGCTAATTAAGTGAAGTGCATTCTGCCGGTGGTATGATCAGTGGCCGAGGAACCCGTGGGGCCATACGTGTTCACTTTCATTCATTTGACTGATTATGATCGTGAATTAAAATGAAACTACGACTGTCGTTTGAATGAAAATGAGTGAAGGATTCCGTCATTTCAGATGAGTGACTGTGAATGAAAGGATTTCTCACTCATTTCATTTTTCACCCTATGCTTAATACATGGGACGAAGTAAGAAATGAAGTCAGATGAAATGAAATGAGTTTGAACGAAAATGAGTGAATGTGAATGAAAATCTTCACTCAGAAATTGGGATGACTGACTTTTGAATGAATACTAAATTTTTGAACAGGTATGCATGGGGCACTAATCCTAAGATTGTAGGATTATAGGGGAGGGTCAGGTTTGTATAAGATGATGCAACCCGTGGGGACATTGCCCCTCTGTCCACTCCACACCGTTCCGCTGCCAATGGTGCTGCTGCTGGTGGCGTTGTGTTATATGGTATGAATTTCAATGAATGAAATGAAAGAGAGAGAGACTTACATAAAAATCTTGGCTGATGATTGCACATATTTTTGGGTTCGTCATCATCGCCACGTTAATCTGTAAATGATCTGAACAATAATAAGCGAACAATAATAATCACGTTAATAATCTAGATGAAGTTTCTACCTAAATGTTCATCTCATATTGTTAAAGGCGTTGATTGAAGAGGGGTTTAAATAATAAAGGAAAAGCGAAATCGTAATCAGGTGGAGGTAGAAGTACATAAAAGTAGATAAATAAATGCAGAAGAGTATTTTTCGAGTTATGCTTCGACTACTGCTACATAAATGTTTTGCTTGGATGTTACCGTTTTTTACAGTTTTTTTCTTCTAAGAGTGACATTTTGTTAATCTTTTAATTTCTTTGAGGATGAACTTATTTAGTAAAATGTTTTGTCTGCAGAGATTGGAGAATTTTATGTATTTTCGACTTTTGAATTTGACTTTGCACGACGGTAAAACTTTTCTCATGTTGAATAATTCCTTAAAATGTCTACGCATTTTTCATTCGTTTTGTAAGTTTTCAATTTTCGTAAATATTTTTCTCCCTGGTTTTAAAAAAATAATGTAATTTTTTTTGAAAAAATACATCAATTTGGTTAATTTTAAACAACAGAACTGCACTGAACAAAAAAAATTCGTTACAAAATATAATTTAGAATACAAAAATGCCCGAAAATTCACAATTTTTCGAAACCATTTCATATATAATTATTTGCATATTATTTATATAAATATTCCGTAAATATTTCCAAGATACATAAATATGACTCATTAAATACTTGCATCGGACTGAATGTCATTAGCTAATTACCGCAGTCTCGTAGTAAGTACGACTCCTCCTCACACGTGCATTTTTCACTATGAATGAATCAAGTCCTCGCTTTACACATAATAAGCCAGAATTAAAGCTTCGTGTCCGCAATTCTGCATAAAAGAAGAGAGAGAGAGAGAGAGAGATGAACTAGATTGATTATTACCAATTGTCACGAAGGAAGACGGCTAGTCACAAGTCCTACTTTTAAATAGCTTATCGCGAAAAAAACACGCTAAAACTGCTACGACGATGAAAGTTTTGTGCTCTATGAGGAGGAGGTGACGAAGATGTGAAAGTATTTACGCTGCTGGGTTTAAATTTAAAAATCTTCATCATAATTATCTTTAAGCACATTTTTAATCTGTCCTCACGAAGCAAAGTGAGGAGATTTATGCAAATGCAAATATTAATATTAATTGTAATAATAATGAAGAGAAGGGATGAAGACGAAATCAGTTTTGAAATAATTAAATATAAAATGAAATGACATTAGGGATGAGAAATCAATGTTTAAATTTAAATATTGTAGTTTGTATTTACCGTGCCGTACTTACTTTCACGTGCTGTTTGACATATCGTTTAGTATTTGTTTTATTTAACATGCAAATAGGTTTGTAAAGTTGGTAACGAAATTGAGATGCGTTATTGAGTAATGGATATGTCAGGTTAGGAAATAAATAAATTAGGTTTGGGATTAATTATTACGTAAATAATAAATAAGGAGGAATTATAATCTTAAATGGAAATTAATTCCTGTTAAAATCGACACGTCGGAAATTTCGGCACTTTACAAAATTCTGCATGCAAAATTTTCTGCGGAAAAAAAAATCATCCGTATTTAAATATTTTGCATAAAGTATTTATATGAGAAACTGAAGAAAAATGAACACAATCATTCGGATTTTCATTGGGAACTTATTCCTTATGTATTTTTTGGAAAACATAAATTTCAAAAAAATAAAATTCTGCATGCACAGGCAGAAAATTTTCTAAAAAAAGCATACTTATCTATTTAAATACTCCGCAATGCAATTCTTTATAAGCGAAATCTTGCAGAAACATGAACCAATTATTTCATACGGGAACTTATTAATTATATATTTCTCGAAAAACGATAAATTTCTAAAATGTAAAACTTTTATATAATTTCAGAAAATCTAATTAAAAAATGTTGGCCTCGCCGGGTGGTGTGGTTGGAGGTGGGATCCGCCAACTGGCCGGGCGTCCCTTGAGAAGGTCACTCCTCATCCTGCTCTGGTTATGCATGGTCTACGGCGTCTTCCACCTCGTCGTCCGCGATGGCGGCGGCAGTGGCGGCGGCGGAGGGAACAGTGGTGACCGCGTCGGGGGCGCGGCAGCAGCGTCCCTTCGCCTCAACGCGATCCTTTCGGGGGGAGGAAGTTACGACGTGGAGCTGCTGAGCCCTTCGTCGTCGTCGTCGTCTAGTCAGAGCACGGGGAGCGTGGTGGGGGGCCACAGTATTAGCAATAAGGTGAGAACAAAATGTTTTACTAACTTGCGCCATAGTTAGAACCGTAGGAATTGATAACTCGTCGCCAAAATCAGCACATTTTAAATCGTTTCTCCGGGCTGGGAATTTATTTTAAAATTCAGGACCACAAATTTGTAGATAAAATTCTCGACGACAAACTCGTAGATCAGACAGTTCCCAATTTTTTGAAAATATACACTCCAGATTTTGACAATTTTTGAATGAGAAAATTTCAAGGTTAAGAAGCCTTAAGAAAAATTGGAACTCGTCGAAACTCCTTTAAAAACCTTACCTTCATTCGCCTTACAAATTTGTCGTTCAGAAATTTTAAATAAAAAATCAAATATGTACAAATTTGGTTGAATATTTTCGAAAATTGACTTGTAGCATGGAAATTAATGCGATTTCTTTTTGTTTGTGCAGTTGATAAGCAGCAGTATCGGAGGGAGCGGGGAGGGTAAGCACTTTCAAAACTTGGACAGCGCAATCAGCAGTGCCATCGCGGCCGGGGGAGGGGGTCTCTCCTCCCTGTCGCCGCCATCGAGTGGGGGACCGGCGTCCTCCATGTCCACGTCCACAACGACCCTCACCTCCATCCTGAAGGTGAGTGATAACCATAACCATGTGCTTATCGTTTTAGTAGAAATTTCTTAATTTAACATATGTATATTTAACACTGGGGAATTTGAGATTTTAAAGTTTGAGTTAGGGAACAGTCTGGGCATCCTAGTGAGCGAGTTGACTTTTTCTCCTCGCCCCTTACCAGTAATGTAAATGATTTTTGTCACTAAGACTTCTAATTTGCAGCTAATACAAAATGGATTGATTTCGTTTTGGTGGCAATAAATTCCCAAGTTTGTGCTTTACAATTGCCATGTTGCATAAATTCCATAATAAATCTCGGTGAAAAGTATTGGACTGAAACTTGATATGAGTCCATGTTTCAGTTCAATACTTTTCTCTGAGATTTATTATGGAATTTATGCAACATGGCAATTGTAAAGCACAAACTTGGGAATTTATTGCCACCAAAACGAAATCAATCCATTTTGTATTAGCTGCAAATTAGAAGTTTTAGTCGAAATTTTTCTCCTTTTCTGGTTCGCGATGCCCCGTTTGGAGAGTGGGAACGGTCACTCTCAAAACCCAAAGCAACTTTTTACATGCAACTGCCTGCATTGTTTACATGAAAATCAGCTGCTCTCTTCGCCCCGCCCCCCCTCATTAGCAAAAAATCTCTCGGCACACAAGGAGACGCAACCGTCGTCTCTGTCTTTTAGTTATGAGATTTTTTCAACGTATATGCATTCTTAATAATAAATTAGAGTATTTGGTACGTGAAGGAACTTATTAACGACTAATGTTGAGTTAAGTGGGGTTTAAAAGTTGGTGGAACCAAGATAATTATTCGATATTTAGCCCTTAACAAACATACCTGTTCAAAAATTTAGTTTTCATTCAAAATTCAGTCATCCCAATTTCTAACTGAAGATTTTCATTCACATTCAAATTCATTTCATCTCATCTCACTTCATGCGATTTCATTTCTTACTTGGTCCCATGTATTAAGCATAGGACGAAAAATGAAATTAGTGAGTAATCCTTCATTCATCTGAAACGACGGAATCTTTCAATCATTTTCACTCAAATCGCAGGAAATTCATTTTCACTCACCATCATAATAACTCAAATGAATGAAAGTGAACAGGTATGATTACAAAGTAAATGAAAAATAGGGTCGTTTTGCCCTATTTTTTGCAACAAATGCTGCTCTTGAAACGATTCGGCGTCAATATTTTATTTACAATTAGTTAAACTAATATCCACGTATGATCAGATTAGTCGTGAGCTTCTTGAAATGTGTAAATCGTTTACGTCCAGCCGAATAAAGCTATAATTTGAAGGGAATAAGTGCATGGTTTAAAATAAATGTGACATTTCATTAGAAATTTCATAATTTTATGCTAATTTAATCCTGGGGAAATTGAGATTTTAATATTTGGTACGTGAAAACGGGTAATATTGACAATGGAGGCGCAAACCATGTTCAGCCCAGATAATTTTTTGACCTTATTAGTTTGAAAGAGCAAGTCTTTACAACCAGCATTTGGTTCGGCACTTGGGCAGATGCGCAAATTTCAGCACGTTATGGGCGCCGCAAGTTCGCAAAAACGCACGAAGTTGAGCTCGCGCTGGGCATTGCCCGAAAAATCGTGCGTTTTTGCAAACTTGCGGCGCCCATAACGTGCTGAAATTTGCGCATCTGCCCAAGTGCCGAACCAAATGCTGGTTGTAAAGACTTGCTCTTTCAAACTAATAAGGTCAAAAAATTATCTGGGCTGAACATGGTTTGCGTCTCCATTGTGAGTTGAGTTGGGTCTAAAAGTGGGTGGAACTAAGAAAATAATTAATTCTATTCGAATTTTACCATTTAATTATAAAGAAAATGAAAAATAATATCGTTTCACGCCATTTTTTCGAAAAATCTCAGAATTGAAATGATTCAATGCCAATATTATTTTTGATGCAAAACTTTAATTTATCTCCATGCAAATGTAGATGTGTCGTACATGTCCTTAAAAAAGAACTAATTATTATTAAAGAACTAAATGACTAATAATTAGTTAATTTCCATTAATATGTAGGTGTCTCGTACATATTTTTTTGAAAATTATTTAAATTATGTAAATGACTCCTAATTTCTGCGCAGAACTTGGTGGAGGACGAGCCTTTGGTGGACAAGGAGACGAGAACGATCGAAGAGTTGATCCTCGAAGCGGCCGGGACAATTCGGAACATTCCCCTGCCCCCCTACATCCTCGGGGGGATCAAGGACGGCCCCAAATTCTATAAGAATTCCTCCTGCGCCAGATTTCCTACTATTTATGATCTCGAATTCTCCAACTCTTACTGGCAAACGTTACGCACGAGCAATGGGACGCTACACTTGTACGGCGCGTATTACGACGTGAGGACGAGAAATCGGTGAGAACATTGTCATTATGAAAAAAACAGGGTTTCGAACGGGTGGGAGTAACCACTTAGGAGAAATAAAAGGAAAGAAAATGGTTTCTTACATGTGAATATTTTGACCTGGGAGAAATGCACGGCGCGAGAAACGACGCCTCGCCGCGGTAAATACGGCATACCGCGCGTGGCTAGATGTTTCTTACAGTTTCGTGCATTTCTTGCATTTCTTCATTTGCAGTGCAAGAAATGTAGCAAACCTGCACGAAACGAAACACTGTAAAGTAGTAACCAGTTGCAAGAATAGCCGCAAGAAAGTGGTTTTTTGCAGCAATTTTGACCTGCAAGAAATGCACAGCGCGAGAAACGACGCCCCGCCGCTGGGAATACGGCGCGTGGCTAAATCGCGCATATTTCTCACACTTTCTTGCACCTCGCATTTCTTGCGTGGCTTGCTTTCCACTGCAAGAAATGTATGAATAAGCAAACCCGCAAAGGACGAAACCCTGCTAAAAAAATACGGGTATCGATTTATTAATGGATTTAAAATTGAATTGCAGGCTGGGTCCATCCGTCCGAATTTTGGGGATGATGGACCGCATCGAGCCGAACGTGAGTTCCTACTGCCAACTCTGGTTCGAACATGAGAAGGAACCCGTTTTCGCCAAGGTGCTGGAGTACAAGTACATCTGGTTTTCAAAATGGGGCAATTACAAGCAAGGCGTCTTCCAACCCTACCTTCTGGCTTGCCAGATCCCAAAAACGCACCATAAAAAGGTATACACGTAAATTATTTAGTTGCATAATGTTTTTATTCGTAAGTAAATTCTTATGAGGTGTGTGAGTTGTAAATTCACGTTGGTTAATTTATGAGTGTGTGTATGTTAAGTGTAGCGCAACTTGAATTAGTGTGCACCAGTTTCTTAGCATAAAGCTCTATGGTTGTGTAAATGATTTCGTAGTTAACTTCAATTGGTTAATTTTATATTAATATTAACTGGTTTATTTATGTTTCAATTAATTAGTACATACAAACTGTGTATGATACTATTTCTATTAGTTGATTTGGGGTAATGTGATACAACTATTTCTGATAGGTAACTTGATACAACTACTTTGATGGGTACTTTGATACAAGTAATTTGCAATCTCAATTTCCCATTTGGGGCAATCTGAGATTTGCGATTCACTCTTGTGCAGAACAACCCTCTGTTACAAAAAGATTAAATGGGCGTTACGCGGGCTTTGGTCCGTGGCTAGCTTTATACTGCAGAGCGGACGGAAAAGCACCCGTGTATGCTAAATCTCACAGTTCATTCCAGCTAAAATAAGTCTATTTCCGCATTATATACATAAACACAATAGTTTGTTCATCATTGGAACAAATGCATGCATACATTACATACTACCATTTCTACCTGTTTAGCAAACTACAAAGCTGGACAACTCAGTCTGCATAAGATGAGTTTGCACTCTGCTTGCCATCACTGCCAGTGTTCTGTGTTGCAAAACATTGATTTGCATGCTTCGGTTTGCTTCTACTGCAAAACCAATGTAAATTGCGTTCAATCTGCATCTTAAATGCAAACTGAACACAAAATGCAAACTACACATTACAACTCCAATTGCATTCATATTCCTACATATTAGGAATCTGAACACATAATCTTAGATTTTTAGATTGATTGCAAATTCCATTACTGCAAAAATTATTGCATTTGGTTAGAACAGAATAGAATTTCGTTGGGCAAAATACTTTGTAAAAATGTACATTATTTTGATTTCACAATGCACATGTTCGCCATGTTTCTTCTTAAAACCAGTACTAAGAAATCTTGAGCACTTCTGCCCAGAACTCACGGAATGGCGAAGGTTTTAAGTTAGCAATACCTTATGTAAATAGTTTCGCAAGGTGTAAATACGCGTTTTTGCCACCTTCAAAGTTCCTAATTCCGTAAATTCTGCAGAAGTGCTCAGGTGCCATATTAACTGTTGTTTGTGCTTATCATTAGTTATATTTACTTGATTTTTAATGCTGGTTTTAAGAAGATCCGTGTCTAACATGTGCATTGTGAGTTCAAAATTTTGTACATTTCGACAAAGTATTTTTCACATCCTTGAAAAAGTACGAAATTTAGTCCCCAGTAGAAAATATTGACCTTTCCCCCCACTTTTTGTGCAGGTGCCTCGTTCCATTTCCATCGTGGAGAAGCCGTGTCACGGTGCGAACAACAATCTGCGCGTGCTCTACGACCGTCCCCCCGAGAAGAAGGGCTTCGCCGTGTGCGTCAAGGGGCTCGACTTCCTACACGAAGACCTCTCCGTCCGCCTCGTCGAGTGGATCGAGCTCCTCGGACTCCTCGGCGCGGACAAAATCTTCTTCTACGAACTCGCCGTCCACCCCAACATCACAAAAGTGCTGCGCTACTTCCAGTCTACGGGGCAGATTGATGTCACCCCCCTCACGCTCCCGGGTGGACAGCCCAACGACCCCAGAATTCGACACATCTACCTCGGCAAGAAGGTATGCAAAACAACCTGAGTTTTCAATTTCTAGGAACTAACGATAAGAATGGAGGTCTCCCAGCGTGCATGTGCGACCAGATTTTGGCCAATTGATCACAAACTTAATTAAGTAGTATGTGCTGAAACCAATTAGCCATGCACTAATAAAATCATGTACTTTTATCCAGGTAAATTCATTTGCACGTGTGTAAGATTTTATCCAGGTAAACTAAATTGCACAAGGGAAATGTGCCCAAAATTAATAAAATAAATGTATGAATGTTCTCATTTAACTATTGCAAATAAAGTGTACAAAGCTTTCATACCCGCAATTAAGGTTACCTGGGACAAAAGCTTTCACATGTGCAATTTGTTTTACATGGATAAGAGTACATACATGCTTTTATTAGTGGCTAGTTGGTTTCATAAAGTATAAAATTTGCGAAACACACTGTCTCTAGTGGGCACATTTGGCCGAGATATTCGCATCCAAAGAGGAGAAAACGCGCAGTAAATTTGGAAAGTGTAACATTTGCCGACTTTATGGATGCGGTTTCTCCTCTTGGGATGCAAATATCTCTGCCAAACGTACCCATTGGAAGATCGCATCCTTCGTAAATTTCATATTAATCAATTTTGTGCTCGATTGACACTAAGTTGCGCAAAACCCGATGGCATATGCTTGGGAAGGCTCATTTGCATGCTAAAATTCCTTTTGCCCTCAGGTGAACCACAAGCGTCAAAACGAGGTGATCCCGTACAACGACTGCCTGTACCGGAACCTCTACCAGTACGAGTACATCGCTCTGCTCGACATTGACGAGGTCATCATGCCCATGAAGGGCTCCTCTTGGAAGGAACTCATGGTCGCCGTCGACGCCAAGGCACGCCAGTCGCGGAACGATTCCCGAGCGTCCTACAACTTCCGGAACATTTACTTCATGGATGATATGATGCATGGGCACGACTGGTTCCAAGGCATGCCGAGATACATGCATATGCTCCAGGTGGGTGACAATTTAATCAGTTTTTTTTGCAAACATTTGCCCGAATTTGTGCGCGAATTTGTCACGATTTTGTGCAAAAATTTGGCCCGACGTTTTGCAGAAACTTGGCCCCATTTTTACAGAAATTTTGCACGATTTGCACAAAACGTTATACAGAGCGACTTGTGCAGAAAACCAAGCAGAATTACTTAATATCGTTCTGAAGACTAAAACCAATGCAAATTTTGTGCAGGCAAATTGTGCAAAAAAAAATTGCAAGATAAAATATGTATGCATCCAGCTTTTACTGCAGAATTCAACACAATGATTTTTACGCGATTAATTAAATTAAATATAATTTTCGCTAATTGTTCTTTTAATTGTCCTCTCTCCCCGGTAGCACGTGTACCGTTCGAGAAACTACACGAAGCCGGGTCAGTACGTGAAATGTTTCCACAATCCGGAGCGCGTCATCACGCTGCACAACCATTTTCCGCTGGCCTGTCTCAACGGCTCCTGCACCTCCTTCCCCGTCCCCACGGAATTCGCTCAACTGCAACACTACAGGGCCACCTGCGTCAAGGCCTTGAAAAACTGTGATAAGGAATACAAGGCCAACTCCGTCCTCGACACGACCATTTGGAGGTAAGTCCATTTAAAGTAGTGCAAGTAACCTCCTCCTCCTTCTCGCACTATCTCCCAGTTTTGTGCACCTCCCATTTCTTGCAGTGTAGCGCAACAAATGCGTGGCAAACCCTTAACCATTGATTTTTACCAGTGTTTCTGGCGTAAGTATGTAACCAAACCACTTGCAAGAAATTACGGGGAAAAAGTGGTTTCTTGCAGCTACTGTCCCCTGCAAGAAATGCACGGTACAAGAAACCACTTCCTAGAAATAAAGGGAAGAAGAAAGTGATTTCTTGCAGGTGAATATTTCGACTGGGAGAAATGCAAGGCGTTTAAGAAACTATGTCATAAGACGGTAAATACGTCATACGGCGCGTGACTAGATGGCGCATATTTCTTGCATTTTCTCCCATTTTCTTGCACCTCGAATTTCTCCCGTTTCTTCCTTTCCACTGCAAGAAATGCATTTATCAAACCCCCAAGAAACACTAAACACAGGATTTAAGTAATTTTGTAGCAAATTTTCACGAAATAAATTTAAAATTTCCACCAAATTTGTCCCGCAGGTATAAGGACGCCTTAATTTCGAGGGTGACCCACGTCCTGAAAACGTTAGGTTTCATCCCCTCCTCAACCCAGCAGCCGCAGCAACAATCCACGCCCGATGTGGACCTAAGCTTAGCAATTTTGAACAAGAGATGACCAAGTTTGATAAAAACAAATTTATTCCAAAATTTCTGATAAAATTTTTATCCTGAAATTCCCGACTGAAAAAGAAGTCTCCTCCGCGATGTGGTAAAGTAGTAAATACATACGTCTAGTTTTTTAGTCTGTACGTGGAAAAAGAACTGAAAAATCTGTAGGTTTATGCTTCCTAATTAATTTTAGGGATTAGTTTACACTATTTTTTTCATGACTGCACTATTCCCTACTTTAGTTAGTTAGATACGACTTATCGTAATTTTGGGTATGATATGAAATGCAAAAAAGAATGCAAAAATATTTAGCACTATGCAATTCTAGGGTAGAGAAAGTCGCATATAAAAATCTGCGTAAAAGTACGAATCTCCTCGCAAAGTAATACTTATTTTAAATATTTATGCCAATGCAATAATCAGGTGATTAATTAATTAATCAAGCGTGATTAACGGATTGATTGGATTAAGGATTAATAATCCTTAATCTCAGGAAAAATCCGATAATCACGTGTCTTTAAGACAAATCTAAAAGCGTGCATTTATTAGATTTAGATGGAATTTTACTTAAATGTTGTCTACGTTAAATAGAAACTATGACTTACTTAATGTTTGTTCCTCTTGTTCGTGGTCATCGGGGAAAAGCAAAATTATTTAACATTTCCGAATTAATAAGTTTCCAAGTTGAGGATCGAATTGATATCGATATTTGCATACGTATAATTACGACAAAAATGATAATGATGATGTTGTTACTTAATTAATTACTTAATTAGACGAAATTGTTCATGTTTTACATATGTACGGCGGCGGCGGTGAACTGACTTTTGACTGTTGAAATTATTGCCATACTTAAAAAATAAAAATATGTAGACTATAAATTTTACGATTAATTAAGTTACGTTCTCATTAAAAAAGTCAATTTTTTATATTAAAATAAAATAAGGACGAAGTTTTGTATGAATTAAAGATAAAAACATGCGCATCGATGGATCATTGTGAAGTTTAGTGTAATTTGATAGATTTTCATGGATTTGCATGAAAAATTGAACTATATCGATGATGATATTCCTTGTTACACGAGGTGACGATGATTATTGAGCAAAATAAGTAATAAAGATAAACTGTGATCAAGAAAAAAGCTAATTTGTACATTTTTATTTCCACCGTAAATTTATGATTTATCGAAAAATCGTTTGGTCAAAAACTGAGAAAAGACCTCAATTTGGCTTTAAAGTGGGTGCAACAAAGATAAGTTATTTTATTAGAAATTCATCGTTAAAATTATAACCACAATACACATACACGTTTTTTTGCAAGCAATGTTGATATTGAAATGATGCAATGCCAATACAATTTTTTTTTGCAAAAAATAATTTATTTCCATGAATATGTAGGTGTGTCGTACATGTCTTTGTAATCGACAAATTTTCATGCATTTTCAAAATTTCATGAAAACGTTCAAATCCTCAAATTGGAATTCATTACCAGACTTTATAACTGTAGATAAGCATGTAAACTTCAATTCTCAACTGATGTCATAAAACATGCGTAATTAATTCTAAAAAATGCTACTTAATTAATTAAAATACCCAAATACTTGATGATCTCTTTTATTCATGCACCACTCATGACTGACACTATTAGAAAACTGGAATTAAATCACTACCTACCGGAGTACATATGTGACTCTACCGGCACTGATATTAACACAAATTGCCGTTGAGTAATGTTGTGGTTATGAATAAATTACCACTCAGGAGCAATTTACTACCAATCTGGTAGGAAATTATTACCAAGTCAATACCAGCACGGAATGTATTTATGTGACTCTTCCAGATTTTTAACAGTACATTCTTCCTCAAATTTGCTTCACATGCGAGTTTGTGCACTGGTTTTGCTCAAAATCTGAAAGTATACGCTGGGAGACCTCAATTTTTAATGGGATTTAAAACTGGGTGAAACCAAGATGATCAATTTTATTCAGAATTTGTCCGTAAATTGTATGCAAAATGTAAAACTGTCATTTTACACGATTTTTTGCAACCAACGTTAACATTGAAACGATGCAACGCCAATACAATTTATTTTGCAAAAAATTAATTAATTCGCATGAATATGTAGGTGTACATATCCTTGTTATCGAACAATTTTCATGCATGTTAAATATTTTATGAAAATGTTCAAATATTCGAATTAAAATAATATAAATATATTCATATAGTTGAAGATAAGTACATATGCAAACTTGATTCTTAACTAATGCTCTAAAATTTACGCGCGTAATTAATTACGCATCTCAAAAGAATGCTAGTTAACTAATTAAGATACATATTCCAAATCCTGGTTGATCTCTTTTATTCATTCACCACTCATGACTGACACACTCTTAGAAATCTGGTATTAAATCATTACCGACCGGAGTGCATGTGTGACTCTACCGGCGCTGGTATTAACGGAAATTGATTGATTGAGTGTTTTTATTAAAGGAGTCAGCACAAGTACTGCATAATTTTCAGTTCTGGACTCCAGACGACAAATGATTTCGAATATAAATTTGTAAAATAAGTAATTAAAATATCAGTATAGCTAACTACAACTAGGATAAAACTATTATGGATATAACGTAATGACTTAATTAGCGCACATTGATAATGAACTCGTTCACATTGTTGCAAAATTTTGAATGTCATTCTGCTGAATTCCCCAGTCTTTCGGTAGGACATTCCATAGTTTGTACGTACGGTAAACAATAAAGCGTTTCATGAATTGCGTACAATTGGGTTCATTCTACACTGTAAAGCATCCGGTAGAGTTAACTATGTACTCCGTGTTGGTAATAATTCCTTACCGAATTGGTTATAGTTTGATTCTGAGTGGTATTGATTTCATTACCACGCCGTTACAATCGATATTACCGATGCCGGTTTATGTACTCTGTCCGGTAACGATTCGTAATAATTCAATACCAGTTGCATAAGAGTGTAGGCATGGTTAAATTTAGTGATTTTCTCTGATCGGCAAAAGTGAGGGACCACCTCATCGAAATTTCCGTTCAGTAATGTTGTGGTGGTTATGAATAATTTACCACTTAGAAACAATTTACTACCAATCCGGTAGGAAATTATTACCAAATCAGTACCAGAAAGGAGTAGATATGTGACTCTACCAGATTTTTAATAGTGCATTCTTCGTCAATTATTGCAGCACACGAGAATTTGTGCTCGATTGACACTACTTTTGCTTAAAATCTGAAAGTATACGCTGGGAGAGCTCAATTTTTAGTGGAATTTAAAACTGGGTGCAACCAAAATAATCAATTTTACTCAAAATTTATCCTTAAAGCAAAATACAAAAGAAGCAATGTCGTTTTATACGAGTTTTTGCAGTCGGTTTCGATATTGAAATGATGCAACGCCAATAGTAAACTTTTTGCAAAAAAATAATTTATTTCCATGAATATGTAGGTACATGTCTTTGTTATCGATAAGTTTTCATGTATCGTAAATATTTCATGAAAACGTTCATATATTCAAAGTCAAATATTATCAGCAGATTTATATAGTTGAAGATAAGTACATATGCAAACTTGAGTTCTTAACTGATACCATAAAATTTACATGCGTAATTAATTACGCATCTCAAAAAATTCTAGTTAACTAATTAAAATACGTATTCCAATCCTGGTTGATCTCTTTTATTCATTCCCCACTCGTGATTGACATTCCTCTTGCGTGCAATTTGGTTCAGACCAGAATTGCGTAACGCACCCAAAGTCAGCCGATCTACGAATATGGTAAGTCACCACAGAATCGAAGCTTATTATTTTACGTTTTGAAGTGCAGCGTACAAAGAATGGACGTCTCCCAGCGTATGCGATCCGACTTTGAGCAAATTCCTGCCAATTGTTCGCAAATTTAAGTAGTGTAAAATTTGCGAAAAACACGGTCTCCCAAAGGATACGTTTGGCAGAGATATTTGCATCCGAAGAGGGCAAAACGCGAAATGAAGTCGACAAATTTTACACTATCTAAATTTACTGCGTGTTTTCTCCTCTTCGGATGCAAATATCTCTGCCAAACGTATCCTTTGGGACACCGTGTTTTTCGCAAATTTTACACTACTTAAATTTGCGAACAATTGGCACGAATTTGCTCAAAGTCGGATCGCATACGCTGGGAGACGTCCATGCAAGCGAGTAAAATAGCGACTAATTTACCTACGCGCACAGTCAAACGGTTTAAATTAAGATGCATAACGCTAAATGAAATGCATGATTGATTTCCTCCACCAATTTCATACGCATGCAAAAAGCAAAATTGGATCGTGATTCATTGTTTCTCGTCGTTGCACTCTTTCGAATCTCAGATCGATCTCGAGGATTGGCTCGTATCGTGGAAATGATCGCGTTATCAGCGTCGTAAAATATTTGGGCATTGTTCTTTCCTCGCGTATTTAGCTAACCTCTCACTTTCCGTATTAATACGCTCACACGCCTCATTCTTGAAATCTGGTGCATACGCGAAACGTGGGCTTACCTACACGTGGGTGACTTTGGTCAAGTTTTAGCCGCAAATTATTCATTACGTAACTTTGTTTCCTTTGCAATGTCCAAAATTTGAAAGGGTTGAGTAGCAAGCACATTGTTTTCCTTGCATGAACAGTGGCCGTGGAAGCTTGAGGGGACATTGTCCCCACGGTTATTCGTTGTCCGTATCATCTGCCCATCTTATAGAAACCCTTCACTCCCCTATTCTACAATGTTAATGTCCCCACGGCCTCTGCGGCTACTGGGCTTGAGTAATAATTAGCAAGAGAGAGACCGATAACCAATCAATCAATCAATTAATTTCAAGTCGAGACCACAAAAATTTGAACCAATTTACGCAAAATGAAGTAATCCACGGTTTTTATGATGGTAAAAGTATGATTGATTGTGTTATGGCGTGGGGTGACCTCTCCATGTCACATGGTCGTCATTATTCTCGTCAACCCCTGTTTTAATAATCAATTTAAACATATCACTGCATGATCAACAATAAAAATAATTAAATGGAAAGGACAGTGCTACAATTTATTTCTTGGCATCAAATATTGCTAACAGAAATCACTGCGCCCAAGAGAGAAGTCAAAAACGGTGTCAAGTTCACAATTTCTATCGACCGTCAACCCACTAAACTTGACTTTAACCAATGTGCAACAATTTGTATTCGTAATTTATGAAGCTCGTTATGTCTACACAAATATTTGTGGGAATGACTTATGCATTCCTTAATAAATTGATAAGCTCCTTTTTAAAATAGGACGGGATGAGAAATCACCAAAATCGTCAAAGTCAGCATATTTTTAATCATTTTTAATCATGATAAATTTGTAGTGCAGAGGCCGGTGCTAGTTTTGTGAAAATATGCACTCCAGATTTCCACATTTTTTGAAGGAGGAGATCTCAAAGTTAGGAAACCGGAACTCGTCGAAACTGGCTCACGTCCATTAACTTACTGACTGCAAATTTGTCGTCTTGTTCCACGCCGGGTGAGGATTTATGTAAAATAAAATATTATTACATGAGCTAATACATAGATCAGACTGATGCGAATGAAATTATAAATGGCTATCCATGGTTGCTTAAAAATATTTTGTGCTCTGCATTTCAGGGTTGATGATCATTAATAAACTTACAAAATTACGTCCATAATCTCAAAAGTGTTTAAAGAAAGGCAATAGACCCTTCAATTCAGAAAACTTGCTTACCCATGTGGGTGATAAGCACACTTTCTGCTAGATTGACATTTGTACCCCTCCCTGGCATTGATTTTGTAAGAAATTTCTACCGGATTGGTATAGTTATTTTCTGAGTGGTAAATTTTTCATTGCCACAACGGGAAAACATGGAGAAAACAGAGATGAAGATAACATTTCACAGATTGCGGTGAATTACATTTGCATTGAGGCCAATTAGTAGTATATGAGACCTATAATCTCGCACCAAAAAGGGGGTCGATCAAAGATGACGTGATGATAAAAGAGGACGAGCCCATTGATGACCACGTGACCTGTATAAGAAAAGAGTACAGTGCCTCGAAAAATAGATTGCAAATGAAACGAAGCAATAAGAATAGACTTTCTCGAATAAGAATAGCA